CAGACGCAGCATCACGGACCAGCGATAGCATCCATCGGAATATATTGCCACCAAGTTGATTTAAGGTCAACATATAGCTTAAAAACATTGATCGCGTTTTTTTGTTTTCCAGACCAATGCAGTGGTTGCGTTGAGTCGTTCTAGGACTGAGTATTGTATCACACGAATTTGATTCGATATCGATTCAGTATCAAGTGGTTTTCCAGACCAATGCAGTGGTTGCGTCGAGTCGTTCTAGGACTGAGTATTATGTTAAGAACCACACGAATTTGATTCGATTTCGATTCGATTCAATATTGATCCAAATGCTTCGATATCGATTCAGTATCAAGTAGAACTACAAATACAATTCATTACCAGCACCAGATGATACTTTTAGCTATTAGCATTTTTAGCAATAAGAACAACCATCAGCACAATAATAATGCTTCGATATCGATTCAGTATCAAGTAATAACACGAAGACGACGAAAATGTAGCTTCAGACACTTGGTGAATTTGAACGATTTAACGCCGATTAGCATTTTTAGCAATAAGAACAACCTTAAAATGAAGCATCAGCACAATAACAACACGAAGACGACGAAAATGTAGCTTCAGACAGTTTAACGAGAATCTTTGCTTGTTGAACACATCTAGAGTTTCTTTCAAAACTCGAAGCCGTCGTCCAACACAGTGTTAACTAGCCTCGCAGACGCACTGACGGCTCTGCGCCGGCCAGGTTGTAGTCATAGCCTCCACAGGAAGACGACGAAAATGTAGCTTCAGACAGTTTAACGAGAATCTTTGCTTGTTGAACACATCTAGAGTTTCTTTCAAAAGTCGAAGCCGTCGTCCAACACAGTGTTAACTATGCTAACACATGCTGGGAGTTGAGGTGGTATTTAAAGCTATCAGCGTATCAGAACAGTTACCGGGCGGACAGCGGAATCGTCGGATATACAGTGTCATTTTACATGACAGTATGTGTTATCGTCGGATATACAGTGTCATTTTACATATGTGTTGAAATTGTAATCGGATCTTTTACCGATTTTGAAACTTTGAAAAGACTGAAATATTTCTCTTAACCCAACCTGGTTGTTGGCCAAGTACGTCTCATTATTATTACTATTATTTTGTATTTTCTCCAAATGTCTCCGTTTCATTTGTCTGTTTCAATGTATCCAAATTCTAATCAAAAGGTTCTTTTTCAGTATTACTGAACGGCAGCCTTTCGTAATTCATTTAGAAGAGGCCGCCACACAGGACTGAAGAGAAATCTCTCCAAGTACAGCAGACTGACAAGCTAACCCTGTAAGATGTAAATCTGTACAGGGTAAAATCCATGCTCCACTGAGCTGAGAAAGAAACACTGCAATAATGATGAGTTCTGGGTGAAAAATGGAGAATGTTTACAGCCCACTTAATCCAAACAAAACATACTCCAAAAACCTTTTACAAAATCCTGGTTGTCAACATTATTTATGTTGTCATCTTCAGATTCTGATGACGGGTGAGGCTCTGCCTCGCCGCAAATGCTGCCCATACATCAGAAGATTTGGAAAAGACTCTAAGCTCACACCTAAAGACAAATGTTGAGAAATTCTTAGTCACAGCCCGGTCTCAGACTGAGAGTCTACGAAGACTGTGAATCTTGCAGCAAGACTACAACTGGGTTACTAATTAACTAGACCTTCGCCGTTTCGTCGCTGGTATTTCTTGTTTTTGTTCGCCCTTTCTTGTGCTCGTGACAATATCAAACCCCTAAGATTTACGAACGACTCTCAGTTTGTAGTTTGGGACTGTGTAAATCGTTCGGTGTCGGCCTATCTGTTCACTTCAGCATCGTTAAAATAACCTGGGAAAACACAAATCAAAGGACCAATGAGAGACGTGCTTACATTTGTGTCAAGGCTAAGGCCATTGGACAAAGACTTAATGTATAAACTAAATCCAAAATATTGGTGTATCAATAGACTAAAATATCGCAATATTTGCTTTCACGATCCGCTACAGCAGGTTATCGATTTTTTATTTGACAATTAACATCCAAATATTCTTGGCGCTGGTTCGTTTTATTTTGCTATTATTATTTCTTTCTCCTAGCGCTTATAAATGTCGATCCCTCTGTTCCAATTTTAGTAACCGGATGTTTAAAGTGTAACAGCATGCTGACAGTTTATCCTATGTTTAATAAAAAAATCAACCTCAATATATCATTGCACCTATAGTATCGCAATATATTGTATCGTTGTCCCGGTGGTTATGTATGGTATTGCCAGATACACACCCCTAAAACCGAACGTTTTGCTAAGTGTGCTCCACACTTACTGTAATGCTTTCTAACATTTTTACAGACTACATAAAACTGAAGGATTCTTTTCTCTTGACCTTTAAGAGCCTTTTTGTGCTTTAACATTTTTAACGCATCATTATTATTTTTTGTACCAATGGACTGTGCCAAAAATGTTACTGTAATGACATTAAAAGAAAAAAAATTCAAATATATATATATATATATATATAAGTATGTTTTTCCAACCTTAGTTGCAGAGTGAAAAAAACTGAAAAAAAAAAAATCACAAAAAAAAAAGGTATAATTGGAGTGTTCTGCCTTCAGACGACTAATCTGAGATTGAAGCTCAGGCCCTAATCCTTCACAGATGAAGATTCAGAAATAAGCACAGTCTAACAGCCATGTGTTGAAAACTCATGCACATGAGACCAATTTTAACTGCATCATAACCACACAACCCCGTGCACGTGGGAATTGGAGAGTATTTAACGAGGGTGCGTGCGCCGTGGTTGTGTGTGTGCGGAGATGAGCCAACAGCAGCTGCATCCAAATCCTTCACTTTCCTTCACTTCACCGGCTGAGATTTGATTTGGCTGAGAGCCGCTGTATAAGCATTTATGTCTCTGTGTGTCTCTGCTCCTGCAAGCCAGCCGGGATGCATGTGCACTTTACAAAAGCCCGAAGCCCGAAAAATGTGGAGCACATGACAAGAAAGTGAGGTCATGAAAGCGAACTTTCAAAAATGTGGGGGGGAAAAAAAAAAATTAAATTAAATCGAGCACCCCAAAGGCACGGACCGTAAGTTTGGAAATATTCCTGTGCACGTTGGTTTGTTGTGTTTGTGCACCGACGGCTTACACTTGGTAATGGTTTCCTAATGGTTTCGACATCGGAGTGCGTTTAAACACAAACGGGAGTGAGTGAAAACACGTCCATCAGCAGAACATCTGTGCAGCCGGACACAGGGTGTGTTGTGAAAGCTGCAGAAAGCTTTGAAAAAAAATCTTTCTGGTGGAAGAAACACTTTCACAGCACGACCTGTCAATCATCTCTGCCCACAAACAGCCAAAAACCCACATGATTGTCAAGCAACACCCAACTCCTAACAACCTGTGCAACGGCTAATATTAGAGCTGCGCACATCAGTCAGTGCACTCACAGAAATGACCCTAGCCTAGCCTGACCTACAGCGGGTTAGTTTGTCAGTTTTCCACAACATTCAGTCATCAGTGTTTAACCCTAATTCCTAAACACTCGCTCAGCGACACCTAACTTTCCTGGTAAAGTTTTTTTACAACTTTACTCGTACTTCATGGTTTCATTGGCCTGGCTAATGTAATCGAATAAGATGTATCAAACTCAAGGCTCCAGGGCCAAATGTAGCCCACAAAGTAATTTTTTTTTGTGTCCCACAATTAAAAAACCATCCATCCATCCATCCATCCATCCATTTTCATCCTCTTATCCGTTACCGGGTCGCAGGGGGCAGCAGTCACCACCCAAATCACACTACACCGTACCAACCCCCCTGAACCTTCCTGCAGGTGGTAAGTCCACTGGAAGGTACCAACCGCCCTAACCGGGATTCGAACTTGCCCAGGAGGTGAACCCTGGGGTTCCACACCAATGACAGAGACATTGCCTCTGGGCCAAAGTGCCACCAATTAAAAAGCATTAATAATATTATATTATAATAAATGTAAAATAAACTGTAACTCGAATGAATAATAATCAAGAAACATTTATCAATAAATGAGTTGGACACCTGCGGTGACGTCAGCACAGGTAAATATCGGGCAGCAGATTTGGTGAAATATGGCTTAACTGTCTGAAAATTAGCAAAGCTAAAACAGGCTAAATATAAGCTAATGTCTTAGCTAAACCAACTGCTCAAGACAAATTAGCTGGAGGTTGTTCCACAAGTAAAGTAGGGCTGCGAACGTTGGGCAAAATGTTAAAACTCAACAAGAAAACCGCAGTCTTTTTGGGGGGAGAGTCAGGATCAACTCAACCAGCTGAAAACTCTTATTCTTGATAGCATTTTTTTTAAATAAAGAGAAAACGAATAATTTATTGTCTTCGCAAAATTACATGTATACTGTATATATATATATTTTTTTTTTCCGAAACGCAAACTTCCTGTTGACCACCCTTTAGCTCCTTCGCCTCCCGTCTGACACATCACATCCCATTAAAATCGTGTCAGAGCTGAAATTTCAGCTGGTAATTTGTCTCCGCTGAGTCGCCCTTGATCCAAACAGAGTGTGACAACTTTAATGAGCAAACAAAACAAACCTGAAGACCAGTGAGGAGAGTGGTGGACCACAGAGGAGGAGGAGGAAGAGGGAGAGGGAGAGGAGGGGGTTGGATGTGCAGGGGGAAAAAAAACAAAAAGAATCTTGAGAACCTTTGTTGAAGTGGCGCCACCATCAGGGAACAGAGAGGTGAGATTGAGGATTAATTAAGGTCCACAGATCGATGAGGAAGGTTTGTTTCTTTGATTTCAGGGTGGAAAAAAAAAGACGCTCAAGAGGGTTAGGTTTAAAGATAAGGGACTGATCTTTGAGTCGAGAAGTCCTGAGGGTGAACTTTACCTAGGGATAGCTACGCCTCGAGAAACTTGGACCCAAGATTTAAAAGGTAAATTCCGTAAATTCAGGTTAAAGACCACATTGCCGGGACCAAAAGTAGAAACATTTAGAACAAAGTATCCCCCCCCCCCCAAAAAACTGGACAAGAACAACATCGCACACGTCGTACAGGAACCGAGACCAGGACCAGAGCGGACAGATCTAAAATGGAGGGAAACTGAGACAACACATTCAGGACAACCAAAGAGCACACAGTTATACCTCAAAAACTCTGGGCTGTTTTTAAATACGTTTTTTTCTTTTTTCTAATTTTTTAGGTTCAACCTTCTGGCATTAACACACCAAAAAAAAATGAGTTAAAAGAAAGTGGTTAAATAATTTCACAATACGGCGGGTCCTCGGTTTATGACGTCCTCAACCTACGGCGTCTCGCTGTTACGACGCCACAACCCCTACATAAACGTTTATATTTTTTGCCCGTTGTTTATGGCTCCCAAGCCCGGTTTTGTCAGACCAAATTGTGGAGGTCTTCATTGCTGTGGGCTGTGACTAACTCCATGTAAAAGTTTCCTGGGCAACAGGTTCCGATTTCGTACATATTTCGCGATATGTAAAATGTAATTATATGTTCTTTACTAGGGTGAAAAAATTTGAATTATGTCGCCGTCGGGAACCGAACCCCAACAAAAGCCGTGAGAGTTTGCTGCGTCGCTGAACACCTTAATTCATCTTCTCATCCTATGTTTTTCTCTTTCCTCCCCCTTTTACTTTACCTTCCGTCTCTCCCTGCAGGTTCCACCTCCTGTCAGCTCTCTCCTCTAAATGGCAGTGCTTACCCTCTCATATAAGCCAGCACGGCTGCTGCCGCCGCTGCTGCCGCTGCTGCCGCCGCTGTTAAAAGCATGTCATTTTCCTGCTGCTAATGTCAAGTGGGAACAGATCAGAGCAGGCAGGAGTGTCGGATAATAACGCAGCCTCCTCTCCTGATGCTGCTGCTGCTGCTAACCCTGTCCTCCGTCTTCTGCTCATCCTCTGTGACCTTCGCTGCTGCTAAACGCTGGGTAATCATCTTCTAAGGGCGACCGTGTTCTACTGGCTTTTAATTGCGTCTCTCAGAAAAGCCCTCGATTGTGACGAAGAGTAAGAGGTAGGAGGTTGGATGGATTGACATTTTCCCTTCTCTTTAAGTCCGGCCAACTTGTTCTTGAACTACTTTATGTGTCACTCACATTTCGCTGTCATAATGTACGTACTTCACACTGTTATATCACCCGCTGGTGATATAAGAGCTAAAGCGCGGCTTTTAGTTTCTGAACCACGCACTCAAGAAGTCAACGTTAGGGCCCGAAAAACAGCAAGAGGTCAGGACGAAAACAACATCCACAGATTGATGGCTGCATTGGCATCGTTTATGAAGTGTAGAGCAGGGGTTCTCAACCCCTGGTCCCTGGCCCGGTACTGGTCCATAGGTCATATGGTCTTGGGCCCGGTACTGGTCCATAGGTCATATGGTCTCGGGCCACAACAACAACAACAAAAAAATAAATAATTTTAAAAAAAGTTTTCATTTACTTTCTTCACTTGAAGACAATCCAGAAGTTTTTCAAAATAATACGTCTTTCAGATTCCACTGCTAACAAAATGAAGTCTAACATATGTTTTATTTTGAAAATTCACCGCCACTACTGCCTGGTAGTGGCATACCGGTCGTTGATACAAAATAGGTTGAGGACAGAGGACTGAAAAATATAACAGAGGACTCATACTCACCAGAGTACAGCTAGCTCATTAATCGAAGACAGAAACAAAGTGGCCTGAGTGACGTTTGTTATTTGATAGACATACAACGCACATCCGAAAAACACCGACTCCTAACTTCTGAAGTTTTTCTGTTTCTTTCCCATGATCTACTATATAAGTTGAAGTTCTTGAAGTTTTTTTAACCAATAGCCGAGTTATGATAAAAATGTTTCCCATAAACTGCACTCAGTCACGTCCTTTGTCCAGACTGAAATGAATAAAAATGTAATAAAATCAGGGTAAAGGAAATGAATCAAACTAAATGTTCTAACTAGAAAAAAAATGTAGTCATGAGAAGAAGATGATCAAAATCATTTGTTTGGCCATGAAAAGCCAGAGGCTGGGCCTTGAACATCTTACAACTTTCAGATTAACCTTACGTTTTTTAAAAAGATACCTGTCCATTTTTGGTGGTATTGAGAAAAGAAGCCCAAATTTAAAAAAAAACTCTACAGAGTGTCATGAACTCCCCGCAGTGCAGGAAAAAAAAAAAGTTCTCCTTTAATTTAAAAAGAAAAAAAAGCTTCCCAGTAATGAAATCATCTGCTGCCGAAGCTGTGATTACATGAATATTTATAAAGAAAAATAAAACTGTGGAGGCTGTTTTTTTTTCTTTAAGGTGCTCAAAGAAAAAGGGCGTTTATTATTCTGGGTGATATGCATCAATCCACGCAGAGACACTGTTAGCATTTTACGAATACCCTTTAGCCTAACCTTAACTATAACAAATATACTGTATGTCAAAACTCCACGTTATTTCATCAAATCTATTATTTCTTCTATCAGTTGAACCTGCAAAATATTCCCACGAATATCACAAAATATCCCGATATAAAACGGTATTTTTTTTTCTACCCAAGATATACCAGATATACACACACTGTGGTGTGTGTGTGTGTGTGTGTGTGTGTGGAACCTGCGTCATCTGCATAAACCAGAGTCATCATCAGCTCCTGGATTAGAATTCAGCAAAGGCTGATGATCCAGGTCCGGTCATTACCTTCACAACAGGAGGTCAGACCTGCATTCAACCCACTGATGCTGGTGCCGACACACACACACACACACACACACACACACAGAGAAGCAGCTCTCGTCTGATTAACCATCTCTTCTTAACCTCCTCCTCCTCCTCATCTCGGTCTCACACCCACGATGTGACCCACGCTGTGTCTGCGAAACGTGAGCCTGATTTTGATTGGTACCTTTCCGACATGATGTCGTCGAGTGGAAGAGGAAAGGAAATATCAGGTGATTTTGACTTAAAGTACTTGAAAAAAAAATCTAGGATTCTGAAATATACTGTATATCTATACAATCTACGTATTTATACATAGGAAAATCACTCAAGGGTTAGAGCGCAGGGTAAGAAAGAGGTACTACACAGTTTTCAGACTCAATCCGGCATCAACCCCCACACATCACTTTTAAAACGTCTTTTAGACGATGATACCAGCAACAAAGACAAGGAACTAATGGACTCAATCCGGCATCAACCCCCACACAACACATTTTTTTTTACCATTTACAAAGTCCCAGTAGAGTACCTGGTACCTGGTACCTGGTACCTGGTACCTTGTAAATTATTACCATTGCTTTGGCAAGAACAAGTATCAGGGACTCGAGACAGTACCAGAAACCTTTTCATTGGACACTACCATCGACTCGTATTGTTCCCCAAGGAACTTATTACTTTTTGACCAAAAGGACTAGTACCAAAAATAGAGTCCTAGAACTTGTACATCTCCATTACAAAGAAAATAAACCAAATGAAAACAGATGCTACAATTAAATAATGTTAATATACTCTCTCTCTCTATATATATATTTATATACATATATGTGTATATGTACATATATATACGTATACATATACATATATAGATATACATACATACATATATATACATATATACATA